ATGCGGGGATGGTGGGGTTTGAAGGGCTCTGCAGGTGAGGAATGATGGGGTTTGAAGGGCTCTGAAAATGCGGGGATGGTGGGGTTTGAAGGGCTCTGCAGGCAACAGGAGTCAGGTTTTACAGGGTTCTGCAGGTGAGGGTTTTCAGGGTTTTCTGGGCTCTGCAGGTGAAGGGATGGACAATGGGGTGTGAAGGCTTCTGCAGGTGAAGGGATGGATGTTGGGGTTTGAAGGGATCTGCAGGTGAGAGGGGTCAGGGTTTGCTGGGTTCTATAGATGAGGGGAGTTGGGGTCTGCAGTCTCCCAAATGAGGGGATCAGGTTTGGGGGGTTGTCGGGGGCATCACTCCTGGTTCGTGCTGCGCCCGTGCTGCAGATAAGGCATCGTGCAATCACAGTGCAGAATGCCACAGAGCTCTAGAGCACGATGTGGAGTGGAAATCTGGACACAAATCAGGATCTGAATTACCAAAATCATACCAGAGATGGGGACATTGCGTATCTGAAAATGCCCCTGATAAAGCCCAATATCTATGTGTCCGTGTACTGATTCAGCCTGAACTATACCAAAAAATCATGGAATATCCTGAGTTGGAAAGGACCCACAAGGATCATCAATGGATATCCCTAAGTTAAAATTAGAAAAAGCTCATAGAGGCCAAAATCAAAATGAAAAAATACACAGATTTCACAGATGCTTTAGCATTTAGGTACCAGAAAATTTGGCTCTTTGTGTTAAATAGGACTGGAATAATGTGGTGCAGAAAACCTGCCAGGAATGATGCTTTTTGGCTGAGGGTGGAGTGGGAGCTGTGCAGTTTCTGTCTGCTAGAGCAAGATTAAATTAAAAGGATTGGAGAAATTCCTTGTGATTATTGCTAGACTTGAGAACAGAATTTTATGCTGTCAATATTGTTCCATCCAACAGGATACAATCAACAAATTGGAGAATGAGCTGAGAACCACAAAGAGTGAGATGGCTCGGTACTTGAAGGAATATCAGGACCTGCTCAATGTGAAAATGGCCCTGGACATCGAAATTGCAGCTTATAGGTATGGTGGGGGATGTTCTAATGAGCCAGAGCTCAGAGCAGTTCCCATTCTCTTCAGGAGAATTCAGGGTATTTATCATTCCCCCAGCAGAAATTTTCAGAGATCTGTGGCAGAGTTTAGTCAGTTCCTGTCTATGTGCACACAGAATTTTTAGTTTGGCAATAAATGATCTTAGTTCTCCATCCTGACAGATAAAAGTACCTGTTCCGTACTTGGGGAAGAGATTTTATATCAGTGGAATTCCTCAATACCAATGGCTCATTCTCAAAATGGGAAATCTCTCAAATGCCCTCAAGAATAGGGATTTTTTTCTAACTTGTAAACCTACAAATTAAATATTTTCCAGCAGAATTGCTGCTAAGTAACTGTGATATTTTATCTCTGATACTGAGCAGAATTTCAGTGGAAGCCACAAGGGGGAATACTGAGAGAGCAGCTCCAAGCCTTGTCTGACAGCTCAGCAGCAAATTGTTGCAGCTGCAGGGTGCCAAAATGCACCTCTACTTTCACTTGCCAGGGGGACCTGGTTCTAGAGAGGTTTTAAGGAAAGGTATTTTAAAGAAAGGTGTTAATTCATGAAAAATCATTTCTGAAGAAATGATTCCAAGCGAACAGGGTGGCACTGGCACAGTGTGCATTAACAACCACACGTGCAGCCTGCAGGGCTCCTGCTGCAGCACAACCAGCTCATTTCCCCCTGCTTTTATTTCTCCCTGCCAGGAAGCTGCTGGAGGGGGAGGAGACCCGGCTGAGCTTCACCAGCGTGGGCAGCATCACCAGTGGGTACAGCCAGAGCGCCCCCAGCTTCGGCAGGTCTGCCTACAGCGGCCTCCAGGCCAGCTCCTACCTGATGAGCGCCCGCTCCTTCCCCACCTACTACTCCAGCCACGTGCAGGAGGAGCAGATTGAGATCGAGGAAACCATCGAGGCTGCTAAAGCAGGAGAGGCCAAGGCAGCTCCTGCAGAAGAGGGTGAGGAGGAGGAGAAGGAGGAAGGAGAGGAGGAAGCAGGGGAAGAGGCTGAAGAAGAGGAGGAAGGTACTTAAGAGTTGCTTTTAAATCCCTTTTATTCATGCTGCACTCTGCTCCTAAGGGATAAACCCCAGAAATTCCAATTATTAAATCTAATGATTAAAGCTCTTTCCCTTTCTGTTCCTATGAGCCAAAGGATGGTGGGGATAAGCACATAGAATTTCTAAATATTGAATGGGAGATAAGGTCAAGTGTTCAAATCGGGCAGATTATAGGTTTCCAAACCCCCTGTGATAATGCTCAGGTGTTACAGACTTCCTCAGAAAGAAGGCCCAAGGACATCCTGAGCTAAATATGAATTCCCAAAGGGCAGCCTGAGATAATGGGAACATCAGCTGATGTGTGGGGCTGGAATTACTGGGTTCAGGCCATGGCACCATCACTGCTCTGCCAGGCACTGGTGGCCATTGAACTGTGAGGGGTTCCTTACTGTAAAGTTTAATTATAGTGAAATTACAGCTAATTAAAGAGCCAATTGGAGAGCAGTGAAAGATAATTCAGGTCTTGGGATAAGGCTCTAAGCACTGAGTCCAGAACTGATATTTTTCCAGGCGATGATTTGTTTTTATTAAATGTTTCACTCCCCCTGAAATCCAGGAGAAGCTGCTTGTGCAGCTCGTCTGTAGCTGCCAAAATGTGTGGGCTTGAAGGGAATTACCACTGAACTGGCCTCAGGAATTGTTCCTGGATGTGAAATATCTTTGTGTCCTTCAAAGGTGCCAAGGAGGAATCAGAAGAAGCCAAAGAGGGTGAGGAAGAGGAAGGAGAGGGGGAAGAAACAGCAGCAGAAGAAGGGGAGGAGTCCCAGGAAGCTGCTGAGGAAGGTGGTGAGGAGGAGAAGGAGGAGAAGGAGGAGAAGGAAGAGAAGGAAGCAGCAGGAAAGGAGGAGAGCGAAGGCAAGAAGAAGGCTTGACCTGAGGGCAGCTTTCCATCAGAACCACGACTGACTGAGCTCCAGCTGCAGTCTCACCTATTTAATTCAGCGCCCACTGAGTTCCAGTCCATGATTATGATGTTTCTCCCTGTGCAGAGTCTGAGTTTGCTTGCAGAGCACCCAAGGCTTGCTCCCCGAGTGCCGCATGGTTCCACGTATGAGTTCAGGGCTTCTGTCCTTCCTGGGTGACCCAGAACCTTAACATTTCAAATGGGGGGGAAAGAAGTGCTGGGAATGAAAGGTTACCTTTAACTTGCATTTAAACTAATTCTGGAAACGGTGGGTGGGGGAAGTGATGGAGGCTTCATTAAGTACGTGCAATAAAGCTGTCAATAAAGTTCAGAAATGCTTACACGGATTCCTCGTGCATGTCCTGTGTCACTGATGCCCTGAAAAGGTTGATAAAGGGTTTTATCCCACTCTTCTTGTGAATGAGAAATGGGGAAAACCTCTTGGGTGTAAAATTTCACACATTTTATAGCAATACCCTGGCGTGTGGTGGTGCCTGGGATGGGTCTCACTGGCTGAGGGTGCAACAAGCACGAGCTCCCTTCTGAAAAAATGGGAATTTTATCAAACCAACACAGAGGGGAAAGGCAAATGTGGCTGTTAAATTGTGGCAGGAGGTTGTTCAGCTTCTGCAGGGTCAGTGAGGAGAGGGGAGAACAATTTAGAGTGTAGGTGAGGCTTGGAGCAAAGAAAAAAACACATTAAAATCAGAACATGATGAGCAGTGAGAAGGGTGGATGGTGCAGGGGAAGGAGCTCCTCTCTCCCCCGGGGGCTGTCTGAACTCAGCCCTGCCTCATTTTCTTCTGAGAACTTCCCAGGGCCTTTTGAAGTTTTGGCTGAGCTAAAAAAGGCACAAAAAGGAGCATCCCAAAGCAGCACAAGCCTGGCAGTTCCCTGAGCCATGTCCTGTGCTCTGAGCCTGTCAGTGTTCAATTGCCTGAAGCTGATAGAGGAAATTAAACCTTGTAAGGACAAGCACTGGGCCAATGGTGCCAATGAAACCAGTTTAAAGAAACCAAACCCATGGAAATTTGAGTTAAAATAAGCATTAATGGCAGCACTAAACTTTACAGAAAGGTTTTCTGGATGAGTTTTTGCACAGGATTTTGGGGTAATTTGATTTTATGCACTGGTGGTGTGGTATCAGCTGGTTTGCACTGGTTCTCCTCAATGGCTTTGTCCGCAGAGAAAGGAATCTCTTTTTTTATACAAGTCTTTAGGGGGTACCAAAAGCATCTCCATGTATAAAGGGTGATAAAAAAGATTACCATGGATGAAGCAAGCACTTCAGATTATTATGTTCTTCCACATTCCCAAGAAAAGAGAAAGAAAAACAAGTTTGGTCAAGCCATTCAGAAAAGCAGTAATCCCAGTAACTCACAGTTCCAGTATCATTTCCAATCTTTTTTCCCCTTCTTTCCTGGGAGTTTGACCATTTTGAGAACCAGAAGTAAAATAATTTTCACTTTCTTCAGCAACACCTCTTAAATATTTATTTTCATGTTTCCCTCCTGCTTTTAACAGAGATTTTTCTCCCTGTGTTTAAATATTTCCTTTTACATTTCCCTCCTCTTTTAACAGAGATTTTTCTCCCTGTGTCTATGCAGAGCCATTGTTACAAAGCAGATTTTATTTTCCCTCTGCGGGACAGGGGTGAGGAGCACTGGGGGAACCTGCAGGGCTCTCACAGAGCACTCAATATTTCTTTTTTACATTTCCCTCCTCTTTCAATGCAGATTTTTCTCCCTGTGTTTAAATATTTCTTTTTTACATTTCCCTCCTCTTTTAATGGAGATTTTTCTTTTTTACATTTCCCTCCTCTTTTAACAGAGATTTTTCTCCCCGTGTCTATGCAGAGCCATTGCTACAAAGCAGATTTTATTTTCCCTCTGCGGGACAGGGTTGAGGAGCACTGGGGAAGCTTGAAGTGCTCTTCAGGCTCTTTTTCCTTTTTACACTTCCCTCCTCTTTTAACAGAGATTTTTCTTTTTTACATTTCCCTCCTGCTTTTAATGGAGATTTTTCTCCCTGTGTTCAAACACTTCTATTTACATTTCCCTTCTCTTTTACCTGATATTTTTCCCCCTGTGTCTATGCAGAGCCATTGTTACAAAGCAGATTTTATTTTCCCTCTGCGGGACAGGGTGAGGAGCACTGGGGGAAGCTGCAGGGCTCTCCCAGGTCTCTCGGGGCTGTGAGGGATGGACGGAGCTGCTCTGGGGTGTGCCAGCCCCAGCTCCCCCAGCAGACTGTTGGGGCTGCTGCTCACAGATAAGGAATGGGAGCTGCTTCTCGGAAATGGGAGCTGCTTCTGGGAACTGCCCCCGTGCACTCAGCCGGCTGCTCCTGGGGAGGGAAATGCTGTTCCAGAGCCCAGCAGGAGCATCAAAGGCAGAGCAGGGCTGGAGAGAGCACTGAGCAGGGGTGGAGGGACAGGACAAGGGAGAATGGCTTCAAATGGCTTCCAGCTGGCAGGGAGGAGGTTTAGGTGGGATATGGGGAGGGAATTCCTTATTCAGAGGGTCTTGAGGGGATGGGATGGAATTCCCAGAGCAGCTGTGGCTGCCCCTGGATCCCTGGCAGTGCCCAGGGCCAGGCTGGACAGGGCTTGGAGCAGCCTGGGACAGGGGAAGGTGTTCCTGCCCATGGCAGGTGGGACTGGATGGGCTTTAAGGTCCCTTCCAACCAAACCATTCCATGATTTATCAAACCCTGCCTTTCTCCAAGCACTCTGAGCTCCTTTAACTCTTCCAACCCCAAATTTTCATCCCCTTTCACGATGTTTTTCTGCTGACTAACTCCTCCTTCCCTCAGCCCTTTGCATCCCTCTTGCTTTTGGGAAGTGAAGATCCTTGTGCACCCAGGGCTGTTTCAGAGCAGCATCTCCAGAATCCCAGCAGGTCTGCCCTCCCTGTGCATCCAGAGCAGCTCCAGTGCAGCCCCCAGCGCTGCAGCAGCTCTGCCCTCCCTGTGCATCCAGAGCAGCTCCAGTGCAGCACACACAGATCTGCAGCAGCTCTGCCCTCCCTGTGCACCCAGAGCAGCTCCAGTGCAGCACACACAGATCTGCAGCAGCTCTGCCCTCCCTGTGCACCCAGAGCAGCTCCAGTGCAGCCCCCAGCGCTGCAGCAGCTCTGCCCTCCCTGTGCATCCAGAGCAGCTCCAGTGCAGCCCCCAGTGCTGCAGCAGCTCTGCCCTCCCTGTGCAGCCAGGGCAGCTCCAGTGCAGCCCCCAGCGCTGCAGCAGCCCTCTCCTCTCTCCTGCAGCCGTTCCCAGGCTGGTCCCTGCTCCCTGGGTTATTTTTAATGCCTTGCAGCTCCGCAGGCTGAGTCAGCCAAGCAGGAGCTGCAGCAGGGCTGGCTCTGCAGGGGCTCCAGGCTGGGTTCCCACTCCTGCCCTCTGCCCAGCCTGGTGGGAGCCTGGGCCGGGCTCCTGTGCCCCAGCAGCTGCAGGGCTGGGGGATGGATCCTGCTGCCAGCACTCCTTGCCTTGGAGAGCCCAGGGCTGCCTTTGACGCAATGCAGTAAAAGCTGGCACAGGGAGGCTCAGGAGAAACTTTCACCCCAGTTGCAGCTGCAAGGGAAGCCAGGAGTGTCCTGGGGGTCTTTGCTGCTCTTTGGGGCTGGGTCAGGCCGAGATCTCGCCCCAGGGAGGTGCTGGGTGCTTTCCCTGTGGTGCACACACACCCCCTGCCACCCCTCTCCCCTCACAGGGGAACACCTGTACAGAGCACCCACAGCCCAGAAATTCACCTTTAATACCTCAGCAATTAACAGCCCATCGTTTCCTGCCACCCAGATTAGTTAGGGATGCTTTAATCCTGGAAAAGCAGCAACAAACCCCAAATGTGCATGGGGAGAGCACAAACCCTGATGACTGGAGAAAATTCTGGTGCCTGACTCAGCTCCCTGGCAAATGCATCCTGTTTGTGTTTTGTAACGCTTCTCAGCTTGTTCCCACCTGGAATTTTGTTCTGGGATGCTGAAAAATAACTCTGGCATCTCCACAAGCCAGCACAGGAAAAAGATCCTGGTTTAGAGCCCTCCAGCTCTTGAAGCCACGGTGGTCTAAATATCCCACCTTAAAAAAGATGCAGAAATCTTCACTGTAAATTCCTTTAATTAATATTTTTCACTGCATGGATTTTTTTCCTATTGTTTAATGAACTTCTCTGTCTGAAAATAATTATTCCCATCACTGGTTCTGTGCAGTCTGGAGGAGTAATTGGTGCAGAACAGGCAAATAACATCCTATTTATGCCTCTCTGCCCGGGAATGGTGCTCTCCTTTGAAACTGTTTGATTGCAGATGTCAGTAGACAAAACCTCTTGGCACCATTAAATATTAATCAGTTCTTACAGTTTTATAAACATTTAGAAATGTGTTAACCACTTGCTTGTTCCTCTTAGGACTTGCTGGGAACATCTGCAGTGGGAAATGGGCTAAACACACAAATCCAGAGTGTTGGAGCAGGGGGAAAAACACACTTGTGGGTAATGACTGAAAGCTGTGAGGGTGAAAGGGGTGGAATGAGGATGTTGTGGAACACATAATTCCACATTAAATATTGGTCTCTGGTTTAGTGCAGGTGTTCTCTTGAAAATTGTGTTTAAGGGGAAAACACTTTTGATTCTCACAAACCTTTGGGCACTTTGTGCTTTGACACAATTTGATGCAGATACCAAAAACAGGGGAATACTACACTCCTTGTTCCTAAAGGTAAAGTTATTTTTGTGTCACACCCGCACAGGACTATGGAGAAGCTGCTGTTTAATTTGTTAACTCTGCTTTAATTAAACATCACTCAGCAGCCAAGCTGTGGAGCACAGATTCCCATTATTGATAGCAGCAGGAGAGACGTCCATTGCTTTGCTCCACAAAGACACCCAGATTCATTTGGAAGCTTTATCTGCTGTGGGCTCTCCACCACTTCTCCAGTGAAGAATGTGCTGAACCCTTTCAATTAAAAACTCCTTGATCTTCAATTATTGATGGGGCGAAGGCACGTGGAAATTCTAGATTTTGATCAGACCCTCAGTCAGGCAACAGATTTCAGGGTAGTCCACTGCCTGAATCCAGGCATGAAAATTATTTGCATTTCTTTGTGAGTTGTGGGAGGTGGGGCAGCAGCTGCACTCTTCATTTTCCTTTTGAAATGGGAAGCAAAACCAAAATTAATCCTATAATGACCAATTAATTCCCACATTGGAGCTGGGGCTTTATCTTCTTCCCTTTTCTCCTTTGTCTCCATTTATTTTTCCATGTAGAGCAATTTTTGATTGGCTTTGTTCTCAACAAAAGAACAAATTACCCTCCTTGAGTTAATTTTTGATTTTAGAATTTTGTGTTTAGAGGCAAATTGAACTTTTTGATCGCTGGACCCAGAAAATAAATAAGGAGGTTCCAATAAAATTAAGGCAAGAGGGGGTAAAATAACCAGAGCCAAGCCTGTTCTGAGGGCTTGGTTGAGTCCCTTAATGGGTTTTTGCTCAGTTGAGTGACAAACTGGTGCCACAGAAGATGCCGCACCCAGGCTCTCCCCAGGAAAATCCAGGAATCATTTGGAAATCGGCTCTCTGTGTGTGGATGTTGGGGTGTAAGGAGGGCAACAACACTTGCAGCAGATTTTAACATTTTTTGGTTCAGCATTAACAGGACTGAGGGCTTAGAGTCCTTCCCCTTCCTAAAGATACCAATTGTAACCCCTCTAAGCACCTCAAGGCCAGGCAGAGGTGCTCAATGGATTCCTCTTTCCTCTAGAAAATTTGGGCTATAGCTCTTATGTTCCTAATCCAGCCTTTGTGTTGTTAGAGGAAATTTGTCCATCATATCCAATTCCCAAGGCACAGAACATCCTGAGCTGGATGGGAGCCCCAAGGACCATCGAAGTCCAACTCCAGACAAAAGAGAACACTAAGGAAAAGAACCTCAACCAATTCCCAACCCATGCAGCTCCATTCCCATTCAGGAGAGAGCACCCAGCTTAGGGAGGGGTTTAAATTGGGAAAAACTCATCAGAACAAGCCATGTTTTCATATTGACCTTTATTGAGCAAGAACTGCTGTGACTGTTTTACATCAAACAACAAAAGGTTGCGTACTGTGCATGTCAACAAGGTTCTCCCAGGAGCAAAAGTCCACCCTAATTGCACCAGTGAGGTAAACATAATTAGTTATAAGTAGCTTTTTTTTATTTTTTAAGGCTAGGAGAGTTCTGGTTCTCATGAATACTCTATGACTGTTTTCAGTTTGGTTTTGGCTCAGTTGGTTCTTTGCATAATACATCTGAACTCGCTCCTCAGATATGTCCCTCCAACAGCTCAGGAAATTCAGAAAAGCTTCCTCTGCACATTTCATCTCATGCACTAGTAGTAGCAGTATTTTTTTTGTAGATCCCCAAGCTCTGTGGAGGGAGTACATCTTGAGCCTGCATGCATTCCCCCCCCCTTCCCTATATTGCACGAAAAAGTAAAATACTGTGTGTCTGGAGCCTCCGTGAGAGAACCCGATCTGCTTTGAAGCCGTCACCCACATGCATTTTGCAGCTGTCTATGGCTTAACCTTTTGCACCGACCCAAGCTCTTGAATTGGTTTGAATTTTAGCTATGGTTGCTTTTATTCGCTCTCTTTAATCTCCTTTACTACAGCATGTGAAGTGACCTTCTCCACTTTCTTGGTGGACACCAACTTCTCCTCAAAGCTCTCCTCGTGCTCCTCCACCTTCTGAGTGACGGTCACCGACTTTGTGATGAACGTGGTGCCGCTGTCCCCGCCCTCCCCTGTGATTTTCTCTGCCTTTTTGGTTACTACGATTTTCTCAGCCTTGTCATCCACAGGGCTCACGTCGAGGCCGTTAGTGACCACTCCCTTGTCTTCCTCCTCCTTCTCCTTGGACTCCTCCTCCTTCTTCTCCTCCACCTCCCCGTTGACCGCGATGTCCTCTTTCCTGGACTCCTTCTCGGCCTCGGCGCTCACTTTCGTTACCTTGGTGACAGTGATGGTCTCTTCCACCACAGCCTTGGCATCCTTGCCTGGGGAGGGAGGTTTCTCCGGGGACCGTGGCTTCTCGGGGCTTGCGGCCTTCTCGGGGGTGCGCGGCTTCTCGGGGCTGGCCGGCTTCTCGGGGGAGCGCGCCTTCTCCGGGGTGGCCAGCTTCTCAGGGGGTGCCAGCTTCTCGGGGGCCACGGCCTTCTCGGGGCTGGCAGCTTTCTCTGGGGTGGCAGCTTTCTCTGGGGTGGCAGCCTTTTCTGGGGTGGCAGCTTTCTCGGGGGTCACAGCCTTCTCCGGGGTCACAGCTTTCTCTGGGGTCACAGCCTTTTCGGGGGTGGCAGGTTTCTCGGGGGAGGTCACCTTTGGTGTGGCAGGTTTCTCTGGAGATGCAGCTTTCTCCTCCTCCTTGGCCGCCTTCTCCGCTTTCTCCACCTTCTGTTCCTTTGCTGCTTCCGCGGCTTTTTCTTTGGGGGCAGCCTTGGCCGGCTCTGTTACAGGGGATTTGGGGGGGGACTTTACGGGAGGTGTTTTGACCTTCTCTGCCTTCGCTGGTACCTCTTCAGCTTTGCCCTTGGCCTCAGGTTTTTCCTCCTCTTCTTCAGCTTCCTCCCCTTCTTCCTTTTCCTCGATTTCTTCTTTTTCAGAGCCACCTTCTTCTGCAGCGTCAGATTTTGCAGCTTCTTCTTCCTCCTCTGCTTCCTCTTCCTCCTTCTCTTCCTCCTCAGCTGCAGCTTCTTGTTCTGCAGGAGCTTCTTCCTCTGCAGCTTCTTCTGCTTTTTCTTCCTCCTGTTCCTCTTGCTGTGCCTTGGCTGCCATTTCTTCTGCGATGGCGGCCAGGGCATCTTCCATTTCAGACTTTTCATCCTCCACCTTCGTCTCTTCAATGATTTCTTCTACAAACTTGTGCTGGACCTTCAGCTTTGGTGGTTCGATTTTTGTTTTCTGGATTTTGGTGGATGCTATTGTGACAGATGGTTGTCTGTGTGTGAATATGGGACCAGTAATGCTTCCAGAGAAGGCACTGAATCTTGTCTCCTCACCCTCCAGCAGCTTCCTAAGGGAATCAGGAGGAGAGAAAAAAAGAAAATGAGCATAAAAAACCAAAATAAGGGACAGCTATGGGAATAATTGTGTCTGTCCCATCCTTGGAAGTGTCCAAGGCCAGGCTGGACGGGGCTTGGAGCAGCCTGGGATTGTGGAAGGTGTCCCTGCTTTGGATGGGCTTTAAGGTCTCTTCCATCCCAAACCATTCCAGGATTCTATAACATTTCCCTGCTGTACTATTCCCCTGCCAGCAGGATGGAACCAGTTTGCTGTGGAATGTGCTGGAACTGTCCAGGGCCATCCACTGCTCACAGCCCCAGCCCAGCTTTCCTTGAATCTGCTCTTTTTGCAAACTCACATTCAGCAGTTTTCAGCTCGGTATTGCTTATGGCTGGTGTGACACCTTCAGTGATCAGTTAAAATTCATCTTTACTGTCAGAAAGCTTCATTATGGTGTAAATCAGCAGGGATTAGGACAAACTAGGTAATTTAATAGGGTTCATTATGACTTAGGCAAACAGAACTTGACACAGCCAACAGACCCAAATCAAATATTGTGTCTGAGACAGTCACAGCTGATTAGAGCACGTGCTCTAACTTCATAATTTGAGCATCTACCCTTTCTTTGTGGGAATATGAGAACTCGAGGCTTCAGCTGACTTTGGCAGCAAGCAGCTACAGCCCCTGGTGTGTCTGTGTGTCTGAGCAACCTCAGAAATTTCAACAGATCTCGAGATGGGGGTGGGTTTTTGTTGTTTTTACTTTTCTTCTGTTCAAATGTTTTTCATCTAAGCCCGTGACCCAGAAAAATCAGGAGCTCTCCAGTGAGAGTTCTGAAGTGATACCGAGAAGACTAAAAAAACCTGCCAGGTGATGGCAACAGCAAGCAGCGCTCAGCTCGAGATTAGAGCAGATGCCTCTGAAGGAAAGTTGAGCAAGAAAAGTAAAAGTGTTTGTGACAGACAGATCAGCACTCACTGCCTCAAACCATGATCAAGCAAATTCACTGTCTCTCGCAGGCGATAAAAGGGAGCTCTGGTGACAAGCCCTGCATGCCTGGCATCTGCAAAGCAGACGGGAATTAAAAATAACCTCGTCTTTCGCTGCATCTGCTGCTCTGCAGCCAAGGACAGGATGCGGCACGGGAGCCGGCACTGAGTCACGCTGTGCCGTGCCCGGGGGCTCGCTGGCAGCTCTGCTGATGATCAGCCGGTCCCTAATGACCTTCTGGGCTCTCTAATGGCTGCAGGGATGCAGCCGAGCTCTCATTTCACCCGTGTTCACCGCCTGCAGATATTGCTTAGCTGTGGTAAAGCTTCCTGAGCCAGCAGCATCCGCAGTGCTATTAATATTCCAGACATGTCTGCAAAGATCCCACTGTACCTGTATGCAGCAATTTCGATGTCCAGGGCCATCTTGACATTGAGGAGGTCCTGGTACTCCCGCAAGTGACGAGCCATTTCCCACTTGGTTCCTCTGAGCTCGTTTTCCAGCTGGTGAATCGTGTCCTGCAAGGGAGACGCAGAAAACCCCTGTGACATAGGCAGAGCCGCGCGCGGGGACAGAGCGGGCACAACTTCTCTGAGGGCACTTTTAGAAACTCTTCCCGCCGCTCGGG